CCAATCGTCGAGCCCGTTCCAGGCTGTATCACCACGTTCACGGATCCGATAACGAAGGTCCAGGTGGTCTGTTTGCCGCACCGTTTGCCACGATCCACTCTGATTTTCAGCCACGTTGTTTTCATCCGGCCTTTCACTGTCGCGATGGTCAAAGCAATGACCGCATGCAAGAAGCCCCGCATTGCTGTGGTTGGCAATACTGGCATTGGCAAATCGTACATGCAGCTTGTGATCCTCTTGTGGTGGGCGCGTCCAGAGCTACGTCCAGTGCCCGAAAACGTCGACGACGGGGCTGCTTTGGACAAGTTTTTGGATGACATTGAAGCAATCGCTCGCGTGGAGCGGGACTCTTGGACGGATTTGTTCTTCAAGCGCGAACAACTTCATTACGGCGTCGATACGTTGCCACTTCCTTCATTGCGTCGATTGGATTCCACGTCGACCTTGCTCCTCTAAGAGCCATGTGTTTCGAAGGATGAGATTGAGATCTGTGGCATCACGGATGGCCGTGTTTGGGCTACAGTGTCGCCATTGAAGGACCGGTACAAGGAATTTTCCAAATACAGTGCCGCCGTGAAGTACAGTACATGGAGTGTCCTTGCGAAGACGAGCTGGTGTTCATGTCTGCTGTGATGGAGAACGGCGTACGGTCCGATTTGAAGCCACTGTACGAGGCGTCACTTGTCCGTGAACGAATCCGAACGCATGGCCCCTTCCTGCGGGTTGTGTTGCCTGAGAGCGCGAATTTTTTGAAGGCTGAAGATAAAGCGGGACGGGGTGAATTGGCTGCGTTGACATTGGAAAAACTCCAAAAGGCATGGTTCATCACCGAGAAGAGATCTGTTGGTATGATGGAAATCAGTGATCGTATCCTCCTCATTGCGCCCGTGTTGGACGGCGTGTTTAATTCGTATACGCTGAAGCCGGCGAACGATCTTGTGGCTGAACATTTGGGCAATTTGATGTTCGACATCGACGTGCAGCAACTCAAGAGGCAACTCATCGCGTACATTGCAAATCCTGGCGATCCCTCGGTGAGTCCCGCTGTCAAGGGGTCGATGTCCATTACCCTCGAAACGTTTTTCGTCAAGTATGCCGCCGCGCACGACATCGAACGGCGTTGGGAGGGTTGGGAAGTGGCCACAACGAAGTTCTCTGCCAATTCAAACGACGACCCTAATTGGACGCCGCAATGGGAGGCCTTCTCGTTGAACGTGAATCAAATCAACCGGGCCAAGAAACCAACGTATGCCGACTTTGTGGCTGCCCCCACGTCGATCTTTTACATGAACGACCCTGGGTATCCGTTTGTGGACTGTTTTTGGTACGATGACAACATGAAGGCGGTGCACGCAGGCCAAGTAACCATGTCGCAGGATGGTCACCCGAAAGGCGTCGGGGCATTCAACACCATGAAGAAGAACATTGATATTCCAGATGGAGTCAAGATGGTTGTCAACTACATCACCTTGCCGTTCCAGGCCGACCGATATGCGAATGGAGCCCGAAGCTACTTCTTCTCGGACGATAACACCGCGTGCCTTACTGCA